CTGGGAACACAGGCAATCTGGGAACACAGGCAATCTGGGAACACAGGGTTAGGGCAGGAAAGTGGAATTGATGCATAAACTCAGCCATGATCCTAGTTGGTGGCACAGCAGGCTCAGGGTGAGGCTGTCACACAGCCTACACCTACTCCTATTTCTCATGTTCTTATAAGGTCAACATTCCATCAGCTTGTTGATTTTTCAGTGACTTTTTTTTTTAAAAACAAGTTTTCCCCAAATGGCAGAGGATGTTCCAAATGGCCTCTTTTTAAATGCGGTTACCTTAAGTTGCTGATACTATTAGAAAGCTTGGTATTTACCTCAGAATTCACCAATGAGGCCACATTGCTAAAACTAGTCTTCTGCAAACTCCCAGGCCCACAAAATCCAAGTGAACAAGAATAGGACCACCAAACTTGCAGCTTTGAAACAAATGAAGCAGAAACTATAATTTGATTTTACAGGAAATTGTGCTAAGGATTTGCTAGTAAAAATGCAAACGTATATAGGCTAAGAACAAGGAGATGGGATTTCAGTCCTCAAATGGGTATATCCACTTGTACTATCAGACATAATTAGTATAAGCACATAGTGGAGTCATAGAGGCATACAACACAGAAACAGACCCTTTGGTCCAACTCGTCCATGCCAACCAGATACCTTACATTAATCTAGTCCCATTTGTCAGCATTTGGCCCATATCCCTCTAAACCTTCCTATTCATGTATCCATCCAGATGCCTCTTAAATGTTGTAATTGTACCATTCTCCATCAACTGCTCTCACAGCTCGTTCCACAGATGCAACACCCCCTGCATGAAAAAGTTGCCCCTTAGGTCCCTTTTAAATCTTTCCCCTTTCATGTTAAGCCTTTGCCCTCTAGTTTTGGACTCCGCTACCCTGGGAAAACAGCTTGGAAACTGAACAGTTTTATTCTAATATCTGAGATACTTGACTTCAGTTACTTGGATATACTGATGACCCTGGGATCTTGCTTCCTCCAGCAGAGAAAGGGGAGTTTTTAAGAGAGGTGTGAAGGGCTTTACGTGAAGGGTTCTGATTAATTAAATAAGCAGCCTACAGTGGCTTGGTGTGGCAGGGAAGAGAAACCGGTAGGGATATATATTTAAGGAAAATAGCCACAAGTAATTCATAAAACTCATTAACTTTTAAATTAAAATTAGATGGTACCTTAAGAGGAAAGATTTGCCGGGCCAATCGGATAATCCCTTCAAAGAGAAAGAACAGGCTGAATGGCTACTTCCTGTACTGGGTTGGAACACAGATTCGAAATATTCTTTCATCAAAATTGTGCTCCAGTTGTTCCCAACAGGAACAATCATTCCTAACCTGTAACTACAGTGAAAACCCAAGTGCTTTCTTTTTGGATTACTGGCAGAACGCACACTTACCTCAGCAATGGGTAGCAGAAGCAGGACAGCCAGAGAACATCAGTGGTGCCGAGTGGAGGAGGCAGCTGAACCAGACAGGCCAAAAACTGCTCAAACACAGACAGCTCAGTATTATTGAGGCATCATGCCCTCTAGTCAGCACTGGCAAGCAAGGAAAGCAAAATGCTGCGTACAATTATCGGTCAATGATATATCCCAGCAGCCAACACTAAACATGCGGTTTAATCTTATGCTCCCAAAACACATATCCCAATTTCAAACCCAGTCGGCAGCTTTATTTTCAGCACCCTTGGATGACCAGAACTCGTCAGTTTGCTCAGTGATAAACATTGGGGTACTGAATAATAGAGATCCAAAAGGTTTAAAACACAACCTATGCTGTGTATCAAGGTAGCTGATTTCAATTGGGGTAACTTTGGGGAATGACCTTAAGACAAGAAAAAACAGAACCAAGGCTCCCACTCAGAATGGCTCTTGCTGAGTAGAGGGCTGATCTCTTGCAACTGAACATCCCAAACACAGCCAAGGCTCATGCCAGAGATTGGGCTAGCCTGTGAGGTTCAAGATAGAGGTTTTTGATTGGTCACTTAAAGTGAGGTGCGGTCTGAGAGAGATGCCGAGAGGAACCCAGCTAGAGGCCAATGAGCACGTTTGATTGTAAAACAAAGTACCACCTAAAGAGAGGCCATGTTTCTTTGGATCACCAGTTACATACATTTTCAGCGTTGTATACAGTATTTAAGTAATTAAATAGTAATTAACAATAGTAATGGAAGAATCCAGATTAGTGTAATGTGAAGGAAGAAAAAAAGATGATTTTCCTACCTGAACGAGGACTAAAGTAAGCTGACATTGTAATAGGAAGAGGAAGCATTTCCTGATTCCATATGCTGTGTGCCGTGCCTGTGGATAAATGGGAATTCCTCTGGTTAAATTAAACTGGAATGAAGTTGTGTTCAGTTTGTTGTTTAGATTATATTGTCTGCAATTTACACAAAAATATGATACACTTCACAGTGGTCTTAGCATTCTTGCTGCATGAAAAGATTGATTATTGCATTGGCTTAATAGAAGTCTTCATTTGGTGCTGGTTTGTAGGGAGGTACTCAGCAGAATTTAATGATCTGGCCTCAGGGTTAACACTGCTACAGCATAATAGCTAAGATTTGAAATGTAGATGAGTCTATTTTGCACTTGTGCTTTTCTATCGTGAAGCCCCTTCCACTGGGAGGTGGTGTAGGCAAATCATGCACCCCTCAGGCAGCCCGTTTTCCACCTGCAAAATCTACTGGGAAGTTAGAGGTTATGCCTCTGCAATTTCCCCAGTACCTTAAGAACAAGTAGGAAATTTACCACAACAATTTTTAAAATATCACAAGGTCCAAAAGGTCCAACCCTCCAATGTTGGATTATTCCCACCAAGCAATCTTCTTACACAATTGAGCTGTCTGTTGATTCCACTCATCTTACTTGCTTAGTTTGTCATCCCTTTAATATGCTCTTCTAAACCAAGGGGATCAGGCTCACAACACAAAAGGAAAATAAAATCAAGAGCAAACCGACATTTAGTCCTTTTGTAATATCAGGTAACTATGGGGTTGGTTAGTTCAGTTGGCTGGATGGCTGGTTTGCAACATAAAGACGTCAATAGTGCAGGCGTGATGATCCTCAGGTTAAACCCATCCCCAATCGTCGGTCTCTAATGAGAGAGCAGCCCTAATGTCCAATAGGACTATGGGGGCGTTACCTTTCTTTTATTAAGAAACTAGACTACTTTGAGTGATAATCAACCAATAAACTTTCCCTAAAACAGTATCACAATATTATGATGACAGTTTTCATATTAGGTCATAATTACATGTGGTATGCAATACATCAAAAGTCATTCCTGACAAAATTGACTAAAGCTCAGGTTACCTGACACTCACACAATGGTTTAATTCTTACTCGGATTGAAGTGCGCAGTGAACCTTAAGTATTCACACACTTCAGTCTTTCACCACAGTCTGTGCAGGACAAAGCCTTTATCAAAATGCCATCAGCACACCGATCTCTTCAACAATGTTATCACAGTTCAAAGATTAAATCATGCCATTTATAAGGGACATCTTTATCACCATCTTAAGGACTATATTGTACAGTAAAACAAGACCAAACTTTGGAGAAGTCCAACTATTAAGCATTGTAACAGTAAAGGCCCTTCATGGTGGATGACAATTTAGGTTCTGCCACAAGTATCTGATTCAAATTTTTCTTTTGAGTGAACGCAGCACTGAGGGATCGGTGCTACTAGAGGTACCTCCCCACCTTTCAGACGCGACATTAAATTGTGGCTGGTTATGCCTTCTCAGACCAATGTGAAAAGGTGCCGTAGCACTATTCTGGACAGCAGCACAGGAATGTGCTCCAGTACTTTGAACAACAAGTGCACCTCAAATACCACTATAACAAATTGGTCTAAATTTTCCAACATGGGGAGTGGTGAGTGACAACTTTAGCTGATGCACCCTGGCGTGTACATATGCAGTAACACCTGGATTGCTGCTTGCTTCCTTACAACAATGGGATAAGATGGTTGTATCCATTAGCTACAAAATATTTAAAGGGATAGAAAAAGTAAATACAGGTGAGAGGTTTCCCTTTGTTGAGGAGTCTAGAACCAAAGGGAACAATTTAACAATAAAGGGAATGTTTAGGTCCAAGATAAGGAGTTTTTTTTTAAACTCAGGTGGTCATTAATCTCTGGAACTCTATCCCAAAGGGACGTGGAAGCTCAGTCGGAGTATATCTGAAGTAGAGGTTAATAAAGTTTTGCTTATTAATGGCAAAAGGCTTATAGGAAAGCTTGGGTAAAAAGTATTGCATTCTCCAACCAGCGATCATAGTATTAAATGGCAGAGCACGCTCAATCAGCTGAGTAGCCTACTCATTTTCTATGGAGAGTTGGCAAACATGCTACCACAAGGAACAGTCAAAGTGAGTAGTATGCATTGGCTTAGAGTGGAAGTTTGATAAATACGAGAGAGAAAGGAATAGTTGGTTATACCAATAACGTTTGATGATGCAGGGTCAAAGGTGCATGAACACCAGTATAGATTTATTGAGCTGAATTACCTGTTTCTGTGTTGTAAACAACCCAAATCTATAGGTTCACATGAGACTAAAAAAACATTAATTTCTTTAGCGTTCTGGTTCTATTCTTATTTTTCTGGTGCATGCACTTTACGTAAAGTATTTTGTCGTTTTAGATGTATCTCAAACGCCTGAGGCAACAAACACTGCTGCTACGACCTGGCACCAGATATCAGACACTTTCCATGCTGAGAGTATATACTTATGTACTTTACAAATGAAACTGAAATATATTTTTGAACAGGATTTACCTATCTTCAACCTTTTAGACAGTCCAGTCTGCATCTAATCTAGGACCTCAGTTCAGATAAAGGCACTGACTCTGATAACTAAAATTACAACAGCTTTACACATTGGGGTGGTGAGCAGTTTAGTCAGACAGGATTACCTTGTTATATGCACACACATATATACATCCATGCTTGTACACACACCTGTTCGATGAGTTTGATGATGCTGATACTCTCCTCCTGGTGAAAGGAAATGGAACAGGGCAGGCTATTTAAGAGGCCAGATAATTGCAGAGGTGTAAGTTCATCAGGATCAAATGAAACATTGGCACTGGTGGCGTAGCCAAAGGTCTCCCAGGAACATCGAGATGGGTAAAGCGGATCCAGTGCAACACTATTAATAAAAATTGTAGTTAATGATTCACAAGTTAAAGATTAATTATTGCATGTTACAAAGCGACTGCCAAATTTGTTCATGCGGCATCTGCAACATGGGAGATCAACACTACAATTTCAAGTGAAAGAGTGAGCAAGCCGCTTGTCAGTACCCCCTTCCGTGGTTTTCTCCTGCTATCGCATGGCTGTAAACAGCATCCTGAAGTACTGTAAAGACAGTACATAAAACAACATTGGGAGTTATCCAATCAGTAGTTTGCATTTTGTTCAGTCCATTTGCTCCTTTTTCTGAGACTGGCATTTTTGTAATGTGTCTGCTCTCTCCCACCTCAATTTTTCCCAGCTTTAGTAAAATGTTTGTTATTCAGTGGCCGATGAATAGGACATGTAGGGAATTCGAACCAACTTCTATTAGATGTGACAATACTTTTAAGACTTGCATAGTTTGACGCATACGATGCGCGAACAGGAGTGTGCCTCCTGATGTTATACAATCGGTTTGTTCCCTTCCTTTTGGTGCATCACCTCTCACCTTGAAATTCTTCCAAGTGCCCAACTGCCCAAGTACTTGTCTGATACACATCAGAAAGCAAAGCCACAAAACTTAATTGAGTCAGTGTGTAGCAGACTTGCCTTTGTTTCAATCAACAAAATGGACATGCCTGGAACAAGCAGATTCCTGATCCTTTGCAGATGCTGAAAGGCTGCTTTTTAATCGAATTACAACTGCACTCTTCCCAACAGGGGCTGTGGGGTCCCAATCTCTCAAGCAATTCAAGGCAACAGCTTAGCAGCACCCTTCTCCGGAGCAATTAGAGATGGACGATAATCCAGCCGACATTATCACTCTGCCTCCACCTCCCCTGTGCCTAAGCTTTCTAACCTCTTCTGAACACATTCTGTTGATACTACTTGGCTGATTTTTCCATCCCTAAATCTGGGGTTTCCGACAGGAGATACGACCAGGGGTGGCCGAGATTGGCTATTAAACTGAAGACTGAAAATTTGGATTTTGCCTTAGCCCAGCAACACAATGTAGTCTTCATCATCAGTAACCACTGCAGGGAAAAGAACTTATGAAACAAACCTGTCAGCCTCACCGATAAAACCATGCTCCTAATGATCCTGAGATAACAAGGTGTAGAGCTGGATGAATACAGCAGGCCAAGCAGCATCAGAGGAGCAGGA